CTATTACCAGTTCATTTTTTAATTATCATTTTCAGTTTTTTTTTGAGTGAAAATATTTTATTCATGTTTTTTTTGTTCTTTTACTGTGTTTCAATATTGAAATCTTTTTAAATAAAATATTCATTAGATGAATTAAACGACTTTGAGGGAAGAATTAATTTATATAAAATATTCTTTTTTACATATTTCACGTTGTAGAAATTTTTGTTCTTTTCGTTATGGTCTGGACTAACCACAATATTAGCCTCAGTAAGATCAAAGTAAAGTGATGCAAGATGGCGACCAGTCGCAAACGTGCAGGGAATGGCAGTCGCATGCAAATAACTTGCAGCCGTTAGGTACACCCCGTTGAAAAGTAAGAATCTTTTTAGATTCTCTTGCAGACCTTTTTAACCATCTTTTAAATCATTTTTTTTTATTTTAGAAATATTAAAATTCATCATTTGTCTATAATAGTTTACATATTAAATGTATAAAGTAAATAAATATTTTATTATTCAAAAAAAAAATATGTAATAAATATTTTAAATTTATTCATCGAGAAATCCTTTTTATATCGTATTATTTGAGTTTCTTTTTATCAATATCATTTATTGCAATAGAATGGAATATTTAATGAAGATTTAAAAAACATAAATCTTTGGCAAGTAGTAGTGATATATGCTTAGTCAGACGGGCGTCAGAAAATGTAAAAGTGATATCTTTTTCTTTAAATCTTTTTATTCTATACTAGAGTTCTACTATCATTAAAATTGTCGGAAAAAGATTACTTAACGTAGAAAGAGCATGTGAATATTTAAAAATATTTTTGAATATTTATTTAAATATATTTTATATCATGTGATAGTACGGTGATAATAAATTTTTAAGAAATGTAATTAATACTTTTATTTAGAAGAAAAATAAAAAAATAATTACTGCTAATTTTAATTGAATATATAGTCTTGTTAAATTATTTTTTAGTTTATTTTCAATTATGTTTTTTTTTCAGTGTTTTTCTCGACGAAGAAGCCTCACGGGATTCAACGGAACTTTTAATTTCACGCTGTTGGCTGCAGAAGAGACCGAACCACGCAAGCAGATCAAAAATCAGTCATCTACGTCTTTACCTAAGATGCTTTTTTCTATTATTTTTAAACAAAACGATTTTCAATTGTTGACTTTATACATGCTTTTTACAAAATAAATTTTTTTCTGCATTTTATTGAAAGAAGAAAATAATTTATGTAGGGGAAGGTAAGGTAATGTGGAACACGAAGAAAAAATGTTTATCAATATATTAACAGATTTAAAAAATTTTTAATTTATTAATAAATTGAAAAATTAATAAACAAAAAGTGCAATGAGTATTTTCAAGATTATTTTAGTAAATTGATTGAATTTTTTTTGAATATTCCACTTTGTTAAAATTGTTAGAATTTATTTATTGATTTTCTAGGTAAAATTTCCTGCGATAGAATTTTTCCGACGCTTTCTCATATAAATTCAAACACTTTTCTCAAAAATTAGAATATTTTTTTAAAAAATTACTATACATTAATAAAAGTTTTCATAATTTATTTAAAAAAATTTTTATTATTCATCACTTGCACTTGCTTTGTATTGACAAGCATGAGATTTTTTAAAATCCTTGTTTTTTGTGTAAAATAATTCTATGTCTCCATTTATATATTTTTCATTTCCTTTCATTTAAATCTATCCTGTCCTTTTTAATAAACTTTTCGTTCATTTAAATAAAAATTAAAATAAAAAAAAATAGAAATAAATTCAGAATGTTTATTAAAACTTACTCCAATTTTAACTGTATTTATCAAAATATTTTCCATTTATTTTTTTATAAAACAATTTAATATTAAAAGTATGACAACGTCATGTAATTCCAAGTATTAAATCATGTACTGATATTATCAAATCTATTTATAATAAGATAATTTTCTGTGTAACATCAACACAATATCTCTATCTACAATGGAATCATCTTGTGATAATTTTTTTTTGTTTTTCAGACATTCGGTGGGTATAAATATACCGCAGCTTATACTGTGTAAGTCATTTTCTAATATAACAGTAACATAAGAAATGGAAGAGAAAAAGAAAAGCATTAGAATGAGGACGAATAATAGTGTATAAGAAGTCAAGAGAACTCGGTAACCCTGGATGGTTGAATTATGTGTTCATTTCACCTCTTATTTTGCTTTCTACTTACTAACTCAAAGTCTCAAGAGAATGCCTTTTTCCGTGTTAAAGAAGACATCTAGCTAAAGAAAGTCACGTTCTTCGTCAAGTAATATTATTTCTGAAGAAATTCGTTTATGAGATAGATGATTGTGTATTATAATTATTTTTTACATGTTTTTTTTCTTTATTTAATCATGAAAATTATTCGTCACACAATATTAATAATAAATTAATTAATAAATAAAAAAGAATTTTTATTTTTAATAACAAAGTATTTCTTTTTAAGATGTAGAAACATAAAGAGAAATCAATTGTAAATTTCACTCCAATAAATAGTAGCCAAGGCTTTTTTACTATTATCAAATATTTATTAACAGTTAAAAATCATTGATTTCAACAATTGCTAAATCATTTTTAAACAGTAATAAATTTCTCTTCTGTCAGTACACATCCACAAGTTTATTTAAGTGATTACTATTTTATTGTCAGTAACTCAAGTTAATTACATTGAATATTAATTATTTTTTGACTATTCATGTCGCTAATAATAAGTCAAAACAATTACTCATTATTAAAATAATAACATATTATAATTTACTTGAGGTAAATAATAAAAAAAAAAAAATATTCTAAATTAAACCTTGAGATAAAAAAAAAGTTGCATTTTTTAACAATTAATAAACTTTTCTATTAGTGTGTGTGTGTGTGTATTTAAAATTGACTGAAATTCTGAATTTATTCCACGACATAACAATGTAAACGAAATTACTATTTAATGTACAAAAAATCAGCAAAAAATGTTAAGAAAAAGTTGAAAAATATTGTTAAAGGTATATAGTGGGATGGTTTAAAAAGCACTTAAACCCATCTACAACTATAAGATACAAGAGAGTAGAAAAAACAGTAAGAAAACAAGTACTTGCTTCTATCTCAATAAAATGATTGCTTAAAGCTCAGTTTCCTCAGTTGAAAATTGTCAAGGGTGAAATAACGAGGCGCCGCGTCGTCCGCCGGATGCTTTTCGTAGATCGTGCACGAAGGTCCCACGCGGTCTCATTTGAGGTTTTACTTGAGGGCGCAACAGAGAGCTAGAGGAAAGAGTAAAGAAGAGAAAGAGGGTAAAGTAAGAAGTGAGGGCACGCGTCTGCTTGGACTACTATGCGGCAAATGTGAATCTATGTTACAGGAAAGTCGTAGATCTTGCTGAGTTAGGAGCGTCGGGCAGGATCTCTTGTACATTACTGCCTAAACTGTCTGGCTTTCACTCTAACTCTTTATATTCCTTACCTTATCTCTTTCTCTTACCAACCACAAACTCAGGTATTCCTTCGTCCATGGCCAAAATTACGCAAATACCTCAATCGTATTTTACCTTCAATTCTTGGAAATATTCCCTTAACTTGTATATCTTAAATTCGATATAGAGTGACTATCGTTTTCTATTGGTTGACTTGACAAAATCTTTATATACAAAAATCTTCGAATTTCATTCAAGAATAATTTCTCTGGAGAAATCTGGACGTCAGAGTGTCGTTTCAATCTTGATAAATATTCGTGCTGTGATCATCGATTCCTCTCACAGTGTAAAATTGTATGGCCATCTGATAGACTTTCTGATTTCTCTAAGGATTTTACCTTGACTTTTATTTCTATCATAAAAATTACATTAAAGTATTATTAACTTTTTTCACTTTATTTACAATATCACATACATCTTATATTACCCTTGAATCATCACAAAATACACACATGTGATATACAGTTTTTTTTTATTAATAAATAGTTTTTATTATTATTCGACATTATTATTTTTTTTTCAAGTCAATAAATAATTGTGTTCTTCATTAATGAAATTACTTAATGGTCGATTTATTAATGGTCATTATTATAAAAATGCATAAATTAAAAATTGATGTTAAATAAATGTTGATAGCAATTTTAGAAAAATCTATAAATATTATTCAAATATATATAAAATTGTATACGATTTCAAGTTCCAACTTGACATAAGAGATGGCACAATGAGCACAAAATTTGATCACTTTTAACATACTTTATTTATCATATTATCCTTTACATATCCATAATAAGAATCTCCTTAATTTTTAATTAAAAAAAAAAATTATTTATAAATATTATTTGAATCGTAAAAAAATAATAAGTACATTAAATAAATTAAACTGAGCTTCATAAAATAACTAGTGCAGTACCACCAAGTCAATCTTTTTTTATAACTTGATAAATTATTTATTATCATAATAAATTAATAATTCAATAAAATATATTTAAAATATTTTATAATTGTATATTTTTATTAAACTTGGAATGATAAATACAAAAGTTGTCATGAATGGTTGCAATTAGTAAAGTATTTAAAATATATTTTATTGGATATATAATATTTATAATAATAATAATAATAAAAATAAATGTCTTAATAGCAATGTGTAAAATTGCAAGATGTAAATCATAGGGAGTTGGTTGGCTCGTTTGGTGAGATTTGGGTTACATTTTCCTTGTCATTTAATGTTTAATGGGTCCTGCTAATGGTATCCGGCAGAAATTGGGTTTGAACTTTACGACCCGACGGATATGTGTGGCCTTAGCAAGCTAGGTTAGCGTTAGGTACCAACTATAATGCTGTGGACGAGCAGTTTGTTCTGTACTAAGATTTATCTCTTACGTATATAACATTTTATACGTCAAAGGATTATACTCGAAGCAATAATTCGAGACACACTTAAATATCTTATTATACTTATACTCGTTTTTATTATCAAGAAATGTTCACAAATTATTTTAAGTACTACTTAAATCATTCATTTTTTTTATTTTATTTATAATTATATTTTAATTTATCATGTCAATAATGATACCATTTATTGCAAATTTATTTTCCAAGTGGATTATTGAGCCATGGATATTTATTGGGACACACTTTGACACAGGAAGTCATCCATCTGTCTTCGCCAGCAATTGTTTGTAGTCTACAAGTTTGAGGTGTACATGGAGCGGAAGGAACCCTAGCCTCACACTCTCCAAATGGTTTTTTCTCATTCAACGACTTTGGGTTTTTAATCCATTGGATTGCCTTATTTACAGTCACGATATAAACATCTGGTAAACGTTGCAGATAATCAAGAAACCTATAATGAAGCATCAATAATATCATCACACTTTTGATATACGTCATTGGGTTGGAATAAAAATAATAATAATAGCGACATACATGTTATATGCTTTGAAATTTTCTGGATTTTTGAGAAACCAAGCAGCATGCATAAATACTGGAAATGGTGCTCGATTAGACTTATAGTGTCGCTCGAATTGCTTGATGATCCATTTGAAAATCGGCTCAGCTCGTGCCGGTCTAGAACAGTCGTGGGTCAAATTACGATCTTCAATATGGCTAGATGATGATACCACACCATGAATTTGGGCTTGATCGACCGTGTTAGTTAATCCCCATCACGTTTTATGTAGCATTACCCACGTCATTATGGATTATCCAAATTAATCGAAAACTTGTAAAATAATTATCAACGCATCCATGTAGATGATCTTATTTATTTTTAGGTTAATTATTATTCAATTAGTCTTGCTGAGTTGGTATTTTTTACTTTTTATCAGGAAGTTATTGCAATAATGTCAATTTTTGTCATTTGAAAGGATATAAGACGGTTCAAAAATAGATGTACGTACGTACAATGTACGTACGTACAATTGTACGTACGTATACCAGCTTTTCTTTCATCTTCGATATCTCGAGAACTACTGGAGATATTGACTTCGGACTAATTTCATTAGCAAGATAATGCAATGAAGAAAATTTAGAAGAAAGTTTAAACAAATTCGGTCAAGTCGTTTTTTTTTAATAATAAAAAAACTGTGGAATAAAGAAGGTGAGTGGTAATTTAGAAAGAGTTTAACTTATTAAATGATCCCAAGTTTTCAAGAGTTAGGCTTATATTAACAAAATATTCTTGTTAACCATTTGATATGATTAATTGTTATAAATATTTAATAATTCAATTGTTAATATTAAAACTAAAAAATATGAATATAATTTATTGACTTACATATGTTGGCATGCATCAACCATGCTGCAAGTCACGTTCTTTTCATCTTGCCACATAGTCATGGGCACTTCCCAGATATTTGGAAAACTGGCAGTCGGACAAGGCTCTATCATGCAATCCTGATGACTAGCATATTCTAAAGTATATGGCCAAAGGGCTTTTTCCATATATTGTATAGATGGCATTGAGCTATCATACACTAATCCTAGCTCTTGAATTCCTTGAAAGCTCGTATTCCCTGAAGTCTGTAAAAATGGTAATCTCACTCCCCGAATATCACTTTTCGGAATGTTTGCAAAATGCATGACTATCTGCCTCATTCCATCGAATTCCGATTTAAATGTCGTTAAATTTATTTTCACCCAATACTCTTCTGATGTTGAATGACTATAAAATGTCACAATATATCCTTTTTAATCATTTCATTTTTTGATAAAATAAGATAAAAATATTTTTGATACTTACGTGATAGAGTGTAGAGCAATTTCATGTCCTTTCAACCAAAGATCGTGAACTTTGGTGTAATCAGCGTATTCATGACTTAGAAAATGGGTAGCACCAACTGGACATCCATCAGGATTTTTACGACCAAAAAGAGCTTTTGAAAAGAAGTCATGTGTTAGTGCACTTACTGCATCATCAAAAGTCAACATAACGATCTGGAAGAGAATTATAATATTTACATAACAAAATTGTAATATTGAAAGTAATTTATTAAAATAATGTGATATATTTCTTCACCTGTGGGGTTTTTGCAAGTGGAATTGCATTTCCACTGTCTGTTGTACTGCATTTACAATTTGGAAGCTTACAAACTGTTGGTGTACAAGGTCCAGCAAGCTTCAAACCCTTAATTGAATAGACAGTTATGAATAAACTAACGAAAAATAAAATTTTCTTCATTTTTTTAAATTTTATTTATTGTTCACTAGTGACACAAATGCTCAACAAATAATGAAACCTAAGAATTATTTCTTTATTTAATGAACTGAGTTATCTTTTTTTCAAGTTATATCGATATTGTATAGATAAAAACTATTATTATCTACCACATTTCCTGCGTATTATAAACTTTTTTTTATATTTTATCTTTCAAGGAGTTTTTCAAAACTATTATATTATCTGATGCATCGAGGGATTTTTTAAAAAACTAATCACAGATCATTTAATAAAATACCTTACTCAATTTATATATTATTGAGTACTTCTGAAGTGATAATGAAGAGATAAAACAATTAAGTGAACATAATATGTATTTTATGAATTGATTATGAATGGTATAGAGATGCTGTGTGTGCATCCACGAATATAACTGCATACCAATTAATCAATAAGCTTATTATGAAAGCAAGAAAAAAGAGCAAATGATTTTGTCTTTTTTTTGCTGATGCTGATGATGGTGTTGGTGTATGCAAGTGACTCATAGGAGTACTTTGAATCTACAATTTTCAGGGTGTGTTAAAATAATTCACATTAAGTGTGTTGGATATTAAATTTTTAAAAATAAATTAGATAATTTAATAGACTTTAAAGTGAGTAAAAAATGCTAGAGTTTGCATATAGAGTTTTAGTATTTAGCATAATTAATGTGTATTATAATTAAAATAAAAATATATTTTAATTTTAATAGATTAGCAGTGTATTATTTTTATGTTAGCATTGTGAAAGGATAAAGGGTATGGCGTTTAGACAAGTAAATATACCGAAAAAAATGATAATATTTTAATAGTTGCAATGAAATATTTTTTGTTTAGAATTGATATGGCAACATTTGGATGAATTCTGATGGTTACTTGAAATAAATCATTGAAAGAATACATTTTTATACCAATATTAAATAATAATCGAATAAATATAATTAAACAAGAAGCAATAACAATTTTTTATCTATGAATATCCTGAAACAGTATATATTTCGTGTCTGACTACTGGATGATTTTTCTACTTTGACATTTCTGTCGTTTTTCTTTGGTTTTACGAGTTTAGGTACATTTGTACAGTTAATACAGCAAGTGGATGTGGCGGGCAAGAACCGTACTAAAACAAAATTGTTTTTGTTGAATATTTTATTTCTCAGCCGTCTCCACTTGAATTTTCTCTTTCTTTCTGATAGTATAGATGTAAGCATAAGAGTCTTTTCCATCCCTCAAACATGTTTTTTAGATCAAATTACTATCTTATATATTCTTTTATATTTCCCTTCTCGTACCTGAAATTTTTCCTCTTATATTTTATTGTTTCTCTCTTTTTTTTTACTCCAAGACTATCTTAATTTTATTTATTTACAACTAGGACAATACATAAATTTCAAAAAAAATAGATATACATATTTTTTTATGCAGTAATAAGTATTATAAATCCAATGGTGATTCCGAGGAATTTATCGACATTAGATTTATGTTCGCTAAATGCACAGCAGTATGAGCTGATGGAGATTGGAAAATTAGGAGTTTATTCAGTTGACATATTTCAAGAGGATAAATTGTAGTGTACAATATTGATTCGCTATTGGTATTTGTTTTACAATCGATGATAGTTGGTAAAAAGGGAGAATACTGCATGAAAGAGCACAACATGGGATACATCGACCGTACACGAGGACAAAACGGGGCAATGCGGAAGCTTTACGGCGCCAAGGTGTCTACTGAGTCGCGTGAGACGCCACAAAACCTGCCGCATGCTCTATTGTACATGTATTTTGCAATTGTTCTCACTTAGTAGACTTATTTCTTGATGAGAAATAGAAATCATCGCAGTACCTGATTAAAAAAATTTTACAATTCCAGTTAACCTGCCATAAATGTTCATCAGTTAGCAACCATTTTTTTTTGGATTACCTAGAATTAAAACTATTTAAATAATTTATTCATTATAAATAAATAAATAGAGATAATCTTTGATGTCTATTCCAATGCTATATTTTGATATTTTGTTTCAATATTTTATTCGTAATGATATTAGTGAAGCAAACAGCGCAGTTGAGTTGAGTATTTTAAATCAGACTTTGAAATAATAAATTGGAAGAAGATGTCTTACCATTTATTTGCTTGTAATACGTAAAATATTTAATTCTATTCGATGATTTAATTAAAGATTACTAAAATGCTGTCTAAATTGACCGAAAAATAAAATATGAAAAATTATTTATGTTTTTAGTATTCGTTTTTCGAATGAATTTTTAAGCATCATAATTACTTATCAAAGAGATGAATATTTACAGAAAAAAAAAATACTTCTCTCTTTGCCTTTAGCTCAGTTAATTGGCTCAATCGAATTATGAATATTTAATTCTCGACGATCTCGTCTAGCCCATCTACAACCCTCGGAGATATCTCATGAGGGTGGATAATTGGTCTGCCGCTGAATTGGTTTCTCAACCAACAAATGCTTTGACCTATACACATACATTTCATTTCTTTATTTTTTAAACCTAAAACTCTTTTTACTTCTCTTTGGAACTTTAGACCTTAAAAATGCTGATGATGCGATCTTGTGAAGTCGTGCATTTCTGAAAGAATAAAAATATTTTACGATTGAATCATTCAAACGATCACAAGAAAAATTTCTAGTGAATATTGATAAGAACCTGTAGATTAAGGAGCTGAAGAATAAAATCAATTAATGGAGATAAAAATTTTAACTCTTTGGAGCCTCATGTGGTATTTCTGAAACAAACAAACAATAATCCTGCCACAACAACAATAATAATAATTAATACAACAGCAATCAATGAACAATAAAAATAGTTAATATCAATAGTAACGATACTTAATACAACAATAATGAATAAACAATAATAATATTAATGATTAATAACAATAATAAAGATAATAACTACAGTAATAATTAATAAACAATAACAATAGTAATAGTAATGATAATTAATACACAAATTAATAAACAATGACAAAACAATAATTAAAAACAACAGTTAAAATAATTGATGAGTAACAAGTAAATAATTCATTATTAATATTATTAGTAATATTTAACAATTTAAATATTTTTTAATTTTTAAGAAGTACATGTTTTCCTACATATCCCTAGATTTATCTCATTATTATTATTAGATGTTTTGCTTCTAATATTTAGTAGAGTCTATTAAATTTATTGTTAAATAAAAAAAAATCACATATATTCAATCTTTGTATCAGTAGTTTTTAATGGCTGCATTTATTATAAACTTCTTCTTCTTCTTCTTAAAGACAATTCTAAAATAATTAATTTTATGTAGACAAGAAAAAACGTTATTTTTTTTTTTTTTATAAAACTGCAATGCCCTCTCTTAGAAATTATTTTGTTTTAAATACTGTAAGGCTTTAGTCTAAACAATTAATTGTTTATTTATTTTAAATCTTGATCTACAAAGGGTTAAAATCATTATTACGCATTACTACTGCTATGTATGTGTTAATTTTCATTTATTAACAATATTTAAATAAATAAATTCAGAATTGTAAATAAATTATACATTCAATTACGAAAGAAATATTAGCTTGTTAAAGTTCATCTTCAATATCATATATAATATTATTCTTTAAATTTAAACCCTCTATTTTTATAAAATTTTATCCATAAAATTAAATATCAGCTCTACTTCATGAGCTTCTACTTCTATTGATTTCAGAACAAATAGAATGAAAAAGAAAAAAAGAGGAAAAAATTACCCTCATTATTTGTAATAGTAAGATATTAATGTAAATGGGAATTAATTAAAATGTTGCATCACCTTGATTAACATTTATTTCAAAGTAGTATTTTTTTTTTACAAAATTTTCTACGGCAACATAAGTATTTTTATTTTTTGTTAAAAAACCATCAGTGAATGATGAAATTGCACAAGTCAATTCGGATATCTTTATGAGTTTCTTGGGATTTGAGCCTTAGACTTTGGAGTTATTTGATACGCGGGTCATAAACCAGGCCAATGGGACTCGTGAAGAAAACTTGAAGGGAAAAAGATGCTGAAATAGAGGATCAGAGTAGCAAATATTGTTTTGTAATGGACTTTAGGTGATGTTCACGTTTACGAGCTGTCGTCTGTGGGCTTTTATTATTCTTTATTCTCCCTTTACTTGTCACAATGTTAGTTATAACATAAATATTTTCTAAGTTTTCAATTACATACATTTTAGATGTCATTTATTTTAATAATAAAATAAATCCCATCTCTTCCGAACAATTTCCTGTGGATTAATGAAATTCAGCAACAATTCATTCACTGGTGTAATGATAAAGCAATCAATATCGTTGTTGTCTTGTTACTTGTATGAAAAGTAACTATGTTACAATTTCATTATATATGATGTTGTCTTGGGAATATGGCTCTATATAAGGTTATACTTGGCTTATGTCTCAAATTAATTGAATAAAATCTATTTGTTCTCCAACACATTACTTGTTAACTAAATAAATAAATAGATGAAAAATAGACGAAAAAAAGAATAAATTAATGTGCAATGACTGATAAATAAATTAATTAAAACGAGTAACTTTTAAATTAGTCGTAATGAAATTATAGAGATGTTTTAGATTAGAAAATTTAAAGGATAGAACAGACACAAGTGGTGGATAATAATTTTGGGAAAACGTGCACGTAAAATAGAAGAGACGACGTGGTCGACGGTTCATTCTTTAGCGACAGCCAGGTTGGCGGTGTGGGTATGTTACTTCGTTCAGTAGGCGCCGGAAAGTCGGACCATGGGCGCCGTGTGGACGCCCGTGACTTCGATCCAAGTAGTAGTAATAGAGAAAGGTATACTGATACGAACAATAGAAGTCAAAGTGGGAAAAGTACATGCAAAATAGTATAGTGTGATAGAAGAGAGTAAAAGTAGATTAATTGTTACTTTAAACGCCGGAATTTTTGTCAAAAATAGTCTTAAAAAATAGATATTTTATTGAGATGTTATTAATTGGCTGCTTTTTGAAGAAAAAATATTTTTAAAAATAGAGACAAAAATTGTGACT